GAACTGTGACACAATAAATTTTTGTGGTTTAAGCCACCCAGCGTGGGGTACTTTATTATGGCAGCCCTGGCCAACAAACATAATATCCAAGCAGTTACTGACTCAAATATACAGGATCCATTTGTAAAATGGCATTTAAAAATGTAAAGTTTAAATTGTAAAATTCCAATTTCAACATGTTTCCAAAACCAATTTTCCACTCATAAACCTGTTTTTGAGCTTACAAAATCAGCAGTTTTTCTTTTCTTTTAAGATTTTACTTATTTATTCATGAGAGACACAAAAAGAGGCAGAGACATAGGCAGAGGAAGAAACAGGATCCCTGCGGGGAGCCCAATGCAGGACTCCATCCCAAGACCCCGGGATCACACCCTGAGCCAAAGGCAGATGCTCAACCACTGAGCCACCCAGGTGTCCCAAAAAAGCAGAGTTTTATATGGGTCATCCTAGGATCCATGATTACAGGGATAAAACACTGGCTTTCCTTGCTGTATGTTTAGTGGGGCTCCTGGGAACCCATATTTAGAACTAAATTCACTGATACCACACAGCTGTGGCCCTGGCCAAGTCCCTTACCTACCCTGAATCCTTTTCTTCTTCTAAAAAATAAAGAGGTGACAGATTCTCTCTTTCACCTATGACATTCGGTAGCTTATAGGAAGCCTTGCGGATCCAGGCAGACTTGTAGGCCTGCAGTCCAGGTAAGTGAAAACAGAGCTGCTTATAGAAATCAGCTCTACTAATATAAAGGGATTTAAAAATAATATTGAAAGACCATACTCCAGCAAATTAAATTTCTAAGTAAAGAACACTGAATTTATTAGAAGTGTCAACATTCAGAATACATAATTTTAGCATACTCTAGAAATATTCACTTAGTTTGCTATATTTTATTGTTAATAAAGAAGGTCCTATATCTAGATTTGTCATATGTCATTAATAAATCTGTTATAAAATGCAGATTATAATTATTTTGAATTATCTATTTACTGTTTAATTATATTTAAGTTTAGGTTCCTCTAAAATGGCCTAATAAAAATTTGAGATGCTAAGTGACTGCTTCATCTGCTTACTCTGTGTATTTGCTGAAAATAATTAGTTATATTAATTGAACTTTTTTTTCCTTTAAAAAACATATCTGGGTGAGGCTGAATCTAAATAAAATATGCTAAAAATATGCATTATTTTTGCCAGTGTGGTGGGTAAAATGTAGTTTGCACTAAAATGAGCAAAATAAACCTTTGTACATGACCATAGAATCAATTTGGTATAATGATTTGATATAACAACTAAACACAGAGTATTAGTACTACCCTGAGAACCAGGCAAGAGGACCCCTGCCTTGGCTTCTGTATATTAATAGAGTCTGTTCTGGCCCTTTTCTGGCCATGCTACTCCATAGAAGGGAAGAGGCCCCAGTATATACTTGCCTGGAACTCACATATACACACACACACACCCTTCCTCTTTTTTTTTTTTTAAAGATTTTATTTATTTATTCATGAGAGACACACAGAGAGAAGCAGAGACATAGGCAGAGGGAGAAGTAGGCTCCATGCAGGGAGCCCAATGTGGGACTTGATCCTGGGACTCCAGGATCACGCCATGGGCTAAAGGTAGACACTCAACCGCTGAGCCACCCAGGTGTCCCTATGCACACCTTCCTTAGAACACATTCCAGGTATGTACCACTCTGACATGCTTTGCTCAAAGGGACCCAAGCTCCAAGGCCTCTTTCCTGGATCATTCCTGAAAGGGTGACTATCACTGGTGGGCTCACCATTAGGCTTGTTGTGTGGCTATGAGAGGCTAAGGTGGGGATCAGGATAGTGTGGACTGGGTTGGGGGACACATACATTCCTGTCTGTTAGGAAGCTCCTCACAGTGCTTGTTTGAGCCTCAAGTGGTAGAGGGTAAGTAGGGGAAGAAGTCACAGAACTAAATCCCCCTGTGGCTTTCCAGGTTCTTAGGAAGGCACATTGGTCAAGGTAGGAGGAAAGAACAGTTTATCTACAACTTGTCATTGTGAGTTATAATCATTTCATACTTCAACAGATAGCATGAAGGCCTCCAAGTACTGTAGCCCTGTTCCTGGCAAATAAGAAGAGCAAGCTGAGTAACATCATAATTGTATAATGCCAACCTTTAAGTGGTCCATCTATCTCACTAATGATCAATTTGCTACCTTTAGTCACACCTTGCACATAAGAATAAGTGAAATTAATGGCTGAGAAAAGAAACCAAGTGAAGAATAAGAGACTAAAGAAACTCTATAGTGTAGTTCTTCTTCCTCTACTCTGTGGGTTTGGAATATGTTTTTCTTCAGGAAGCTTATGCCCCAAGATGATGACAGTCATAAAAAGTGATGTTTACTATGTGTGGGGCCCTTTTATAAGCGTTACACACATTAATTAGTCATTATAACAATGGCATAGGTGGGTCCTGCAGTAACAGCCTCCCCATTCTACAAGAGGAAGTCTGGGCATGGAGAGAGTGACTTGCCTGCAGTCACACAGCTAGGTGGAGGAAGAGGAGATTCGAGCCCAGGCAGTCTGGCTCCAGAGGCTCCGCTGAAGGATTCGACAGGGCGTTTGTCCACTGAGTCACTTCTGCGCAAACAAATGTTTGCTTCACAAGCAACTAGTTAGCCACTCTTCCCTCTTCACAACCACATCCTTGGGGCAGCATGGACTTTCCAGCAAGCAGCTGTTCTTTTTTTTTTTTTTTTAATGGGGGAATGTTTTATTAAGAATAAAAAAAAACCCACACAACTTCCTGATAACATTTTAGAGCAAAAATGAATAAAGAAGATGCATATTTCCCATAACAATATCGAAGAAATAACATCAATGAGTCCAGAAAATATCTTTAGGAGAAAACATGGTGTCACTTTGCAGAGTTCTGGGTGAAATCTTTTCTGAATCACCAAATTCAGACATTTGTAAAAACAATTTCAGATTAAGTTGTTAATTTCTGTTTACATCCAGTTTAGAAATTACCATGATGATTTCCCTCCATTTATTAGAAAATGTATTTCAATAAGACAAACTTGACATTCTGGATTGGTAAGTACCCTTTGAAATTCCCAGAGATTAACCTAAAGAAAAACTGCAATATCTGTGTGTGTGTGTGGCGGGGGGCGGGGGGGAGTATATGTGTAGGCGCCCCAGAAGCATGACACCTAGCATGTTGTGGACTTGACCATTTCCATCCAATTCAGCAGAATTGCTGGTTCACCACATCAGCCCAGGAGGAGGACATATCCTCATTTCAACAGACACCTCCTCAGGGTCTTCTGCTGTGGAGGACAAGTCTCCGAGTCCATGAGCTGTCTCATTCCCTATGAGAGTCTTCAGGGGATGGGGATACCTGCAGGTCTTCTTAGAGAACTCTCGAGGGGACATGCACACAAGTTCCCTCACTCTGAATGACACAATAAACTATTGGTCAAAAGAAACACAATTCCCAGACACAGAAGAAACTGATAATTTGTATCTCTAATCTGCCTTCCATATATGAAAACCTACAAAAAAGTGTGATTTGTTCACCAAAATTCCTATTTTCCTTTACTTTCCAGTAAGCATGACATTTCCAAATTTCAATATAGAGTGGAAATACATTATTGAGCCCTTAAATGCCAGTGCAAATGATGAGATGTTACAACTGCACATCTATGATCACACTCAGAGGCATTTGATTGGTCATGCAATAATGAATTTGTCAGTCTCTTCTGTAAGAAATACAATGATAACACAGAGCACCTATAACCTGACATGAAAAACCATTTTGCTAGATTCATGAACTTGGCACTGCTTTCCTGAGGTATAAACCGAGGTCAAAATTGAAGTTGAAGTGACATGAAATCCATGAGTCCACCTCTTATGTGTCAGGAGGTGTCACAAAGGGGGTGGTAGCAAAATCTTCCTGAAACCTTATATTCACTGGGAGGCGGGGCAACTCCCTTTGGAATAAGGGTCCTTGTCAGTTTCCATGTCTTCAGTCTTAATATAGGAGGTAGGGAAGGGAACATAATATAATCAACGTGGTTCAAGTAGGCTGGATGCAGTTATCTCCTGAAAAATAAACATTTAATTCCTTTTGTGCCATTTCCAAGCAACGACCAAATGTGTTCATATTTTTGGGGAGACTTCTCAATCTACATTTTGTGCAAGTAAAACTTTGCACGCTCATACATTATTGTCTCGCAAGCAGCTGTTCTATTGTCACGGCTGAGGACAGAGTATTTTGGGTCGTCTTTTTTTTTTAATTTTTAAAATTTATTTATGATAGAGAGAGAGAGAGAGAGAGGCAGAGACACGGGCAGAGGGAGAAGCAGGCTCCATGCACCGGGAGCCGGACGTGGGATTCGATCCCGGGTCTCCAGGATCGCGCCCTGGGCCAAAGGCAGGCGCCAAACCGCTGCGCCCCCCGGGGATCCCTGGGTTGTCTTCTTTTATGGTGTTTTGTTCTGCTTTTTAAGTGTCGTAGGAAAAAAAAGTTTAGTGCAGTGCCCCGCTCAGAAATCCTGAAGAAGGGAGGCAGAGGTGGTAGGAAGGAGAGGGTGAATCCTGGAACATTGCTGCAGCTTGATGCCACAGGCAAAAATAATCAAGTGAACTGCTCCTACCCAGCGGCGCTCCCCGCAACCGCTCAGCCTCCACCAAGGTCGGGGGCGTAATCGAGACGGGCTTCGGGCTGGGGCCTCAGGGAGGGCCAGGGTCTCTCCCGCGAGAATTCTGAAGGGTGAGGGGAAAGGGAGACGCCAGACTCAGGAGAGAGAAGCCGGGGGAAGCGCGCCCACACCGCCTGCTGCCGCGTCACCCACACACAGGACCTTCCCAGGGCCTCCGAAGCTGCCCGCGCAGCCTCACAGCACGCCCCGCCCCGCCCCGCCCCGCCCCTCCGCGGCGCCTGCCCCGCCCCCGCCCCGCCCCTCCGCGGCGCCTGCCCCGCCCCCGCCCCGCCCCTCCGCGGCGCCTGCCCCGCCCCCGCCCCGCCCCTCCGCGGCGGCCGGCGCCCTGTTTACCGCGGTGCATGGTGGGGCCGTCGCCCCGGACAACCCGGCCCCCCCACCCCGCCCAGATCGCGGCTGCTCCTCGGCGGTGCTGGGGCAGGGGGCGCGGCGTCGGCAGCATGCGTCCGGCCTGCGAGCCTTCAGCGCCTCCGGCGAGCTCCGACTACTACGAGCGGCTGGGCCGCCTCCAGCGCGGGCTGCGGGACAGGTACGTCTCCGGGGGCCGGGGCGGGGGGCGGGCCCGGCCGAGGGTCAGCCGGCGCCCTAACTCCCGGGCCTCGCCACCCACCACCTCCGCCCGCCTCCGCCGTGTTTCTCAGAGCCCGGGTCCGCCCGGGACGCTCCCCGAGCTCCCGGTGTGGCCTAGAGGACAAAGTTCACCAAATACGGTGGTGCCCCGTCGCCCTTACCGGAGGTCTCCCGCCGCAGGACGCGGCCGCGTCACGCAGTGTGCCCAGAAGTGAGAGTGGGAGTTCTCTTGCCTGCCTGTCACCCTCCTCGCGCCTTGTGGATTTCTCTACTTCCCTTCTACATGCCTCCTCCCTCGTCTCTCTCAAGATTGTCATCCCACCCTGACAGCGCCACTGCATCAAGGATGACAGGTCTGGGAACGCAGGCGGGACAGTGTGTGTGTGTGTGACAGAGAGACAGACAGAAAGACAGAAGCATATGCCCTGTTTAAATGCACGAGACATTTTTTGGGGCGGGGGGAACGAGGGCTGGCCGGATTTCCAGCAAGGAGGTGACATTTACAGAAGGAGAAGTCCAGCTTCCAGAGGGTTCATGATACTTTGATTAAGACATGAAAGATGAGAGGAGCCGCTGAAAACATCTAGATCTAAGAGCACAGAGAGAAAATTATAAAGCGATTTACTATAAATAACCACATAAAAGATAAATAGTTGGAACTATTATTCAGCTGCTAAATTAATTGCAGTTGGAAATCTCATTAGTTGACAAGAAAGGAAATAGATATTTGGATCTCTTGATAAACACAGCGTTTAATGAATGTTAAAAGTTACAAAATCATTTCAGTGAAGAGGAGAGCTTTGTGTGTGGCAATTCTAAAATGACAATGATAATTACATATAAGGTAAAGGCAGTAATAGGTGGTTATAAAAAGGAATTACATTCATCTTAGCCTCGATTTAATTCTTGTCAAATATTTATAGAACATCCACAACAGGCCACCATATTTTACCCCTTGATCCTTTTCTATATCCTATTTTCTTTCTGACATACTGCCACTCACCCACTCCAGGGACCTCCTCACCTCCAACTTAAAAAAAACAAAACAAAACAAAACAAAACAACAACAACAAAAAAAACACTTCCTGCAGTGCTTTCCCTATGGCAAGTATTGATCATCCCATTCCCTAATTTATGTTATCTCTATTTTAATAGCACTGTAGATAAATGGCTTGAGTGACTTGCTCCCTGCTTAGAGGGAGAATTCCAGGAGGACAGGAACCATATTTAGCTGTATCTTTAGCTGGTAATGGAGTACCTGAGGTGGAGGAGGAGCTTGACAAATTGTTGAGTGAATAGCAGAAATCCCAAAGTCAACCAGCCAGGACCCAGCAGTTTTGAATGTCATGTATACAACACTGTAGCCACACATTGTCACTGAATCTTGAGGATTTACCAGTCAACCAGGGAAAGTGAAGAGTATGATATTTCAAAAATGGTATTATGTCTGCACATACCTTATAATTAAAGGAGAAGACACTGCTCTGCACATCAGCACACCTAAAGTGCTTTTGCTCTGTTAGAAGAGTAGCTTAGTGTTCCTAGGCCTTTAGTTACTTGTATCTCTTAGCCCAAGTTCTAATTTTAAAATGTTACTGGTTAAAAATAAATAAATAAATAAATAATAAAATGTTACTGGTTTAAATGGCATTCTTTTTGAACTAAGTTCATTGTGAGTTATCATTTTTACTTTCTGTGCTAGGAACACCTGGTGGTTTATAGTCCTTATGGTATAATAACTGTGTAATGATTAGTACTCACTTTATGTTTAACACTTAAAATGTTTTAACTGTTAATCAAGGTGAGGCTGTTTAAATTATATAAGGAATTCAAGTAAAATTTTGTAGCCTATTCATGGTTCTACACTTGGAGGTTTTTAAAAATTGTTAAGTTGGTACAAAACTGTTGCTGTGTGTTTTCATCTTTCATTTAAAAACATATTTTTTTAGAGAGGAAGTGTGGAGGGGCAGAGGGAGAGAGAGAGAAGCCCAAGTAGGCTCCTCGCTGAGCGCAGAGCCTGACATGGGGCTTGATCTCACTACCGTGAGATCATGACCTGAGTGGAAATCAAGAGTCAGATGCCTATCCAACTGAGCCACCCTGGTGCTCCTTATTTTTCATCTTAAAAGTCCACAACTAACTTCTCATGCATAGTAAGTACAGAGGCATATAACTTTGGATGCAGAGAAACTTGGGTTCTGCTCTACAAAGAATTGTGTGACTTTGAGCAGGTTGTTCAGCTTCTCTGAACCTTGGCTGTTCACCAGAAATGAGGAGCACTGAATTACATGTATGGTAAGGCCACAGATTTGTTTTTTCTCTAGTAATGAGCTTCAGACTAAAAGAGTTGAATGTTGTAGTTTTACAAAGAAACAAGTAATGAATATCATTGTTTGTATCCTATTTGAGTGTTCGAATGTACCTGCTTTTTGTTTAGTTTTGTTTTTTAATCACTCTCACTGACCACAAGGTCTCTAAAACTTCAGAGTCATTTTAAAGGCTGCATCCCTGGGTCATCCCAGCCGCTTTATCAGTCCAGAAATTTCCTGGGGGTAGGAGATAAAAACAACCTGCCCTTTTCTGGCTCACTGATGGTCTAATATAGCTGGTCTAATAACTGGGCCTTTCCCTGGTAAGTAGTATATTTCTAGCCCAGTTTGTCTTAGCTGAAGTCACACATAAATGTACTTTTACATTCTTAATTTTTTCCTCTTTGAGTATGGTGTTTTCTCTGCACTCTGGTGAAATCAATCATCAAATCTTAAAGAGCCTGCTGGAGTGACTTTGTTACAGTGTGTGTAGTGCCACATGCATGGTAGAAACATGTGAGTGGAATTGACTCTTATAATTATATAAAAACATCCCTTTAAAAGGCCCATTAACCAGTTTTTTCAATGCCAGTATTGATTCAGAGTGAGATATCATAATAGTCCAGAAATTGATTCTGAGATACTAGCTAAGTGAAGCTGAAGTTGGTATTGAGACAAAAACAGAATAACAAGTGCTTAAAAGGAGAAAAGGGAATCATGTGGCTACACTCTTAAGGACTAGCAGCTGTGTAAACCTTTGAATGGGCGAGGTGAGGGACGCAGGTGACTAAAACCATGGACTATATTATGGGTATACGTCCCAGGGTTGGGTGTTTCAGAGATTCTGAGATAAAGATTTAGTATGTAGGGATTGCAAGGTCATCTTCCCCATAAACCTTTCTCTGGCTTTTTATTGGAGTAAATATCTTGTTTTAAGTCTTAAATTTAAAATAGAAATGAAAGACAGCATTCAGAAGCTCTGCAGCGTGGATGAGGAGCTTGGGAAAAGGGCCTGTGATAAGATTAATGAGATTAGCATCATGTTGTACGCAGTGGAAGGCCAGGAGGTGTTTGTAGTTTTTCACCATCTGAAGCGCCATAATAGGTAAGTGACTGGCAGATGTGTTTATCTACTGAAGACAGAGGAGCAATGAAGAAGTTCTATGTTCATGATTAAAAAGAACTTGCTGCACAGGAGGTGATGGATTCCTAAAAAGACTGTGGTCCTTTTTCACTAGAGGTTGTAGGTGAATTTTTAAAATTATTTTGAATTAAATTCAAGCTTACAAAAAAGTTGCAAGTATAGCAGAAAGACTTTTAGTATTTCCCTCACTCAGATTCCCACTCTTAACATTTCATTATATTTTTTCTGTTTTTGTCTATCTGCCTGTCTAAAATTATTAGTCTTTTCTGAACTATGTGAGAAACTGCAGATAATGATGCCCCATTACTCCTAAAAACTCAAGTGTCTATTTCCAAAAATAAGGATGTTCCCTGACATGGATGCACCCTATGACTCTCCTAGTGTGGAAATCAACACTGATACCAGTCCACAGACTCCAATCACATTTCACTACCTGCCTATTTTGCCAACTGTCCTAAGACTGTTTTTTCTTTTCTTTTCTTTTCTTTTCTTTTCTTTTCTTTTCTTTTCTTTTCTTTTCTTTTCTTTTCTTTTAGATTTATTTATTTATTTATTTATTTATTTATTTATTTATTTATTCATTCATGAGAGAGAGAGAGAGAGAGAGAGAGAGAGAGAGAGAAGGCAGAGACACAGGAGGAGGGAGAAGCAAGCTCCATGCTGGGAGCCCAATGCGGGACTTGATCCCGGGACTCCAGGATTGTGCCCTGGGCCAAAGGCAGGCACTAAACCGCTGAGCCACCCAGGGATCCCCAAGACTCTTTTTTCTTTTCTGGACCAGTATCCCATCTGTGTACTCATTTGTTACATCCTTTCAGTCTCCCCCAGTATGGAGCTATTCCATAGTTGTTTCCTATCTTGTATTCTGACAACTTCATGGAGTCCAACTTCTATTCTAGAGGGTAATCCTCAAGCTGGATCCATCTAATGGTTCCTCATGATAAGACAATGATCACACTTTCTTGGCAGGAATAACACAGAAGTGAAGCAGGATGTCAGGGCACAAGGTCACAGATACACTTAAGGGTCTTTCTGTCTTTGTAATTTAATGATAGATGGCTCACTGTTCATTCTTCATGAACTAAGTATCCTACTAATCATGAAATTTTAGAAGCCACGAAAGTCACTAATAAACAATTCTAACATGGAAGCAATTATGCCATATTTGCTTTTCTTCTAAGTTCACTCTTATTTTTTTAAATTTTAGTTTAGTTTAAATTCAGTTAACATATAATATATTATTAGTTTCGAAGGTAGAGTTCAGTGGTTCATCAGTAGCTTATAACACCCAGTGCTTCTCATCATATCACATGCCCTCCTTAATGTCCATCATCCAATTACCCAGCCCCCCACCCACCTCCTCTTTAGCAACTCTCAGTTTGTTTCCTAGAGTTAAGAATCTCTTATGGTTTATATCCCTCTGATTTCATCTTATTTTATTTTTCCCTCCCTTTCCCTATGGTTCTGTTTCTAAGATTTTATTTACTTATTCATGAGAGACACAGA